CCTGCATGCCGCAAATCATGCACCCAATGTTGGCTAGAAGCCGATTGCTGGCCTGGCGATTTCCGGATTCTGGTGGTAAGCTCGTCGAGCATCACTTTTTGGCGTTTCTTTTGGACATAATGATTGTTTATGCTGCCCATTATCCGCGCCGTGCTCGTCAATGTGTGCAACGGGAGTTGTCATTTTCCTTGCAACCGTAGGCTCCGAGAGATTGGCAGCCCGTTGCGGGGGAAACGTTCGGGGCCGGCCTAAAAGGCAAGATGAGATATCATCTCTGACTAAGACCCATGACGCCAGTATCATCTCTTTTCAGCATAATCACCTGGAAAGAGAATTTCGGTCGTGGAGTCAAAGTAGACGATTGGTGATGGACCGTTTCCGGGAGATGCGGGTAGGGAGAGACATGCATGAGGGGGAAATGGACCTTCAGGGACCAAACTTTTGGTGGTGGAAGATTGTGATGGGTCAGCCAGGTGATTGGCCCAAATTGTCTATTGAAAGGCCAATGGAGGACGGGGAGAGGGATCGCGCCCCTTCCTGCCCAGAAGTCCATTTCGAATAGAGCCAATCATACAATTGAGAATGCAACAGACCCCTGACGAGGAGAATAGCAACACTCCTCTTCCAATAGTGGTTGGATGCTATACGCGGCCGACGGGGGCGATGGTCGTTGCTCCAGCGGATCTGGACTTTGAGTGAGACAATATCAAACTCTAGTTTGCCCTGGAACAAGGGCCTTGAAGATGGGTTGGAGCGTTGCACTGTCTGCGAATGGAAGACTTCCAAATGTTTTCCATCACCAGACTGCCGTATCGAGCCGACTCTCACCCCCAAGTCACCCCACGGATAGGCAGGCTGTGAAGCTGACTCTGCGGGCAACGGCCGTATCAGACGACCGGGTCGTGGGTGAGATTGCAAGGACGGCGGGCCACTGGTGAGCGTATCATTGCCTGTTGTGCCGGAGAATATAACAATTGGGACAATAGCTCGAATCCATCGGTCCACCTTGCCCGGATCTTTTGGGACTATCTTGGATAAAGGAGGCTTCAAGGGTGTGCCGTACCATCCATCTTCTTGGAGCTTAGTAGGCCGAGGGTCCGGTTTACCAAGTTTGACGACACCCTCAAAGAATCCTAATTCGACTTACGAACAGACGTGAAAGCGCGTCTGGTTGTTGGTGGCGCTTCCTGGTCGTTGGTTCGACGACGCGTCGTTGAGGCTTTTCGCTGCAGTCATCTATCATGGCCATGTATGGCGTCCAGTAGAAGTTTGCTGCTACCTCGGCGCGGGGTCCTGCGTCGATCCTCCTGCGAGTGTCTCGATCGAGTTGCTTTGAGGACTGAGCGTTCAAACCGATGTTTCCCTGTTGGTTTTCGAGGAGCAGGCCCGGAGAGTCGAGAGCAAATCAACGTGGTGCCGCAAAGCCCGTCAAGCCGGTTCAGTAACATTCTTTGTGATTAGGTGCAGAGGATGTTTGTTGATAGATGATAGATGGCATGAAAAGTCGATGATGGTCTCTCGGTACGGTTGTGAGCTTGGCCTGTGTCTCTTTCGAGGCTTGTGCCCGCCCGAGCCGTCCACACCATCTCGAGGGTCGAGGGAATTCTAGCCGAAGAAAGCTCATGGTCATCAAGGATGAAGCGCCGAGGCCATCTGGAGATGTCGCCAAACAAGCGCCGGGCATTGGAGGAAGGGTGGGGCGTATGTGACAAGCGTAGCGGTAGCGTGGGCGATCAACAGGGAGGGTGGCACGAGAGCGAGACATGCAGAAACCTGTCCTCTCGGACAGCGTGAGAGTGAGACATGCAGTGGATCGTTGATGGATGACATGTTGACGACAGTTGACGACGCTGGTGAATCAAGCGGTTCTGGACTGTCTTGCTCGGTAGCAGGCGGTTGGACGGTGATGGTCTTCAGACACGGTGGAGAGAGACGCAGGGGAAAGGCAGAATGGAACAGAGGCAGGTACTGTGTCGAGAGGCAGATACGAAGCCACAGCGAGGCCTGGTTGAATATGTGAGGGCTCCCATCCGGCACTTGTCGAGTGGGCAAAGTGGATCGTATTGTTCCGTAGAGTTCAGAAGTGACCAGGTGTCGAGAGGCTATGGGAGGGCCCTAGGGCTGGGACTGAGTGGATGTTGCGAAGCGTTGGTGCCGTAGGTAATGTGTAATGTATGGATATCGCTCTATGTACCTTATTTGCAGGCAGTCTGAGCGTTTCTTGGGCTCGAAAGGACAAAAAGCATGGGAAGACAACGTGGTGGAGGAGAGTCAAGGTCGAGAAGAAGAAAAAAGACATGGATCGAGAGGCGACCGTTGGCCCCGCCTCACTCCACGGGCCACACTGACCAGTGACACGGACCACTGGGTGACTGAGGTGCACGTTCCAACTGAGCTGAGCCGTCTTGACCCGCAAGTACGTACCGACAGCCGCTGCGCTAGAGCCAGATTGGGGCAGGTGCATCCAAAACCCACTTTCTGGGCCGTCTGTCTGCTCCCAGGTCCTTCCTGCTGCTCAAGTGCTCCTTCGTCTTCGGTCGCCATCGATGCTTCCCGTTGAAGTCGCTTCTTTCCCTCACAGCGTCGGGTCACGGGGTGTCTCCTTCCATTCCCTCTACCGTTCCTTCCAACAACCAACTCTCAAGCCTGAGGTTTCTCTGTGAAGGAAGGCCCTACCAGTATCTTGTAACATTCCATCCATAATTAAGGTAGCCCTCTTGCCATTCGCGGTCATTGTCCCGTTTTCTCACCCACCCCGGGTCAATGTCCACCCGCCATCGCTGTTTCCCATTCGCAATCCGAAAATGTCGACCAAACACAACCAGTCTCTCTGTGCTCCATACGCCGTAATTCATTCGACAGTGACATCCAGCGTCCCCCCTGCCTTCCTCCGTCGATAACAGCAAACTTATTACTTTTGCCTTCTTACTCATACGACCAGGTCTAGCTTTTCTACGGTACACTCCTGTCCGGTCTCGTCCTCTGATCTTTCTCACTCGTTCATGGCGGGGCGGGCCATCCCCCGTGTGCCCTCGGTCGCTGTCGCTCCAAGGGCATTCCCAGCCGCCAGCTTTGGGCGTTTGCCTCCTCGCCATCTCAACTTCTCAACTCAAGCTCGTCCAGTGTAGTGTACTGCGAAAGTGTCGCCGAGACTCGAGACTTATTCCCGCCCCGAGTCCCGTGCCCCCCAACCCAAACGAAACTACACTACCTACACCGTACCGCGCACACTACCGCCCTCGCCGTCGGTGAGCTCGTGGGGTAAGGTACCGAGTAGCGCATGCCAACTGGCGGTAAGCACAGCCATCCTGCTCGCCTAATTTTGAGTCACACGTTCTGTTTCCGGTTCTTCCCATGACGGCACATCACGATGATATTCTTGTCGGTTTTCAAAAAAAGCATCAATATCGAACTCGACGTGCCGGCAAAAGTCTGTTTCCCCCCCTTGGAGCCCCCTCTCCAGTCTTCTTCCCCCCTCCCCAAAAGGCAAAAGGACCAGCATCCCAGAATCCCAGACGATGCAAAGGACCCCGAATGCGGACAAGGGCACGACAAGGGTTTGCGGCCCAATGACAACGTCGAGTGGCCTTGTCAAGGCTCTTTTCTGTTGCCATAGGACGAGCCGTGTATGCAGAGTCCAGGGCGAAAAAAAAAAGCTACTCGCATGGCGGCGCAGTTGCCGTACGGAGTACGCAGTACCTAGTGGGCAGCTTCGCGCCTCATCTCATGGCTGTTGATGCCAGGCGCCTCTCGAGTCCCCGACGTACTACTATTTTTCTCTTCATTTCTGGCCCATCAGGTAGTAACGGGTAATAGGTAGGCGACCCAGCTAAGGTATCTCATTCTCGTCCATTTTGCCATTTTTGAGTCTTGACCTCTCCACCTACTCTCCGTACCCTGTACACATCGGCCTCTCATCGTCTTTCGTGCCTTTCTCAGCATTTTACCCTCTCGCCTTGGCTCCTAGCCAAAGTCTCTAGCCCCTCTTTCACTCTTTGAGTCCCATCTGTATCCGTATTCTTCTCTAAAGTGTCTTGAGATACTCCCCAGCGGAGCCCGGAGCCCCCCCTATGCATCGCATCTGCACACTCCTCAGGTTGTTTCCACCGCGACAGGAGTTCGCATATTGATGTTCACCTAGCCCCCCCTTTCCGTCTTGTCCAGGCGTGCCGGGGGCTTTTGTGGTTTCTCGTTGCGTTTCCTCCATCTGTCAGGATGAGTCAACATAGCAAGTGGCCCAAATTGCTGTATGATCTGCTCCCTCCTGCGCGCGCTCCCTGTCAATGGCTGCCCAATCCCGAAGCGCCGTGCTCGGCGGTTGCAGCAGCTCACCTGACTTGAGCCCATGATGCGCAATTCTTGACCGCCGCAAAACCATGGCTTAAGAGAAATGTACTGTGTAAGTGTGGCATGCGTAGGTATTGCACACCTTGACATTTGGTATTGCGAGAGCACAGCCAGCCCGGTATTCCAGAGACAAGGGTCTCAGAGCCATACGTAGGTAAAGACGAAGAAGAAACTAGCATCCAACATCTCATCTATTCGCACAGATACCTAGATGGATGCAGATGCAGCGATGCGAGAGATGGGATACTTTTCGTAGTACGTACACTCACACGCCCCAAGGAAAGGTATCTTTGGTTGGGTACCTCCATTGGGTTCCACCCAGATACCCCCCCCCCCCCCCTTTGGTGTGCGTATGTGCCTCGCATTCCCATCCCGGTACATCGTGCAGAACGTACTGCTCCTGTCCCGCCGCCTGCACTCTTGCTGCTAGTCATACCCCTGCTCGCTGGACCCGGCCGCCGTTGTCCATTCACGTTGTTCCAGTAGCCTGGAAAGCAACAAGCAAAGTGCAAGATACTTTGCCTGGATAAAGGTACTTCGCAAGAGGTACCTTACTCCGTAGATATTCTGGGTGAGGGTGGTGAGTGCCTACCCCGAGGTATATACAATCCGATGTTGCCTTCTTTTGGCTTCGACTTGGCTACCTACCTTACCTTATTGCTACGTAGCTGTAGCTTCCATCTCTCTTTCTTTTCTTATTTTTGCCTCATCCCAGTGCTCCTTGTTCCTTGTCAAGCCCTCTTGCCACGCTGCTTCACCTTAGATCTATCTACCCGTCGTCTCCCATCTCCATATTCCTATCCGCCCACCCTCATTCTCACTCATCCATCTCCGCATCTCGACTCACAACTTATCTCGACGACAACTCCCACTTAGCAAACCGGCGCAACACGGCCCAACTAGGCTCTCTTCCCACGAAACGACAGATCACTTTCAACCTCTCTTGTCACCGTCATCCCTCTGTCACAAGAAGAGGGCTGGCTCATCTCTGCTCAGCGGCGCCAAGGTACTATCTATCTGCCTCTCTGTCTGCCTGTCTAGACTCTAGGCGCGGCCTTTTCCCCCACCATCTTTGAGACCCCTCTGAACCCCTCCACCACCACTACAACCATCCCGACCGAATCGGCTCTCCCACGGCAGCCGCGCAACCTCGCACCACCCCACCACTTCACACCCTCACTATCACAACCCGGAATCCATCCCCCTTCTTCCGCGCCAGCCTTCCTTGTAAACAATTTTTCTTCTCTCCTCACTTCTGTTTACGACCCTTCCGAGAGAATCATAACTTCACATCTGCTGTGCCGCCCTTAATCATCCATCTTCCCCATATAACACTTCCCTACAGTTCTTGGCCGGGCCTAATCTGAAGTCCCAGATCAAGGAAGCCATCCCTCTGGGACCATTATCTGTATCTCTACCTTTCTGTTAGTCAGCCGCATCCGAAACCAGTATTCGTTCTCTGGTCTGCGAACTTCGTTCTGACCTGTCGGACAGCATTAGTCTCCGAGAAACACCACATCGGATCAACATTGGATTTTAACCGAGGTCGAAGCACCAGGTTACTCTCGCCGCCGCCTCTTTGCCTCTGAGAGCACCATAGCTGACTTGAAGCCAGAAGTATAGACATAATTGTGGGCAAAGACATGAGATAGTAAGGTTGCTGGATTATGGTGGACAGGCCCAGAGGTTTCCTCTCAAACCCGGGATATCATGGCAACCCGACGCGCGGCGTTAGGCTTGCCGAGCCGCCCAGATGAACAGATACGAGCAAGAAGGGCCGCTGCCGCCGGATACATCGATCAGAGCGAGGACTTGCAGAGCACCCCTCGGAGGATCCGCAGAGAAGGAGAGAACATTCGGATCGCCATTCAACAACCAGTGCAGACCAAACCTGCACCGATGCCCTCGACGGCCTCCTCGCGGCGACCATCCATTCCGATGCCTTCTACCCGGCCACCTTTAACCCACCAGACCCAGTCATGGAGTTCTAACAGCACGGCTGCCGAGAGACCCAGCCATGCTCCGACCATGTCTGGCTCATCGACATCTGGCCAGTCTCAATTGAGCGTTGCCAAGCCGAAACGCAACGTACTGCGGAGAAAGCAGTCGTCTGTCACCCCAAAGACACCAAGCCTACGTCACGATTCGAACAACACCGATTCAACCCGAGGAAGCTCATCTTCTTCAGTTCCACGATCCCGGTCTTCTCTGGAACCCGCCCCCTATCACCTTGACCGCGGCATGACCGAGAGCCCAACCGAGATTCGCATCGCACACGTTATCGATCTACCCAAGACCCAGGCGCAACCTGTAACGATTTATCCCGAGCTTGATCGATATAGAGAGATCTATGGACGACCCTCCACGTCTTCAGAGGGATCTAGCGTTGATTTCCTCCACAGGCTGGCTACGCACGACCTCCCACCCCCGACTCCCGTCTTCTCCGGCACCAGCAGCCAGTTGAGTGCTTTCAGTGGCAGCCCTTCCACCAGATTCTCTGAATCAACTAGCCCGGGTCCATACAGCCGTGATACCACTCCTACCTCCATGTCGTCACAATCGCCAGGACTGGTGGTTCCGATGCGACTTCCTGTGCCCAGAGTGAGGCAAGTGAGTCCGGCAGTAACACGGCCACCAGTCGCCCGGAGAAGAGCCGGCAGCATACCGAATGAGATGGAAGCGTTTAGCGCCGACCCCCAAGGGCTTGCCGCGGTACGCGAGTCTTTGACATCGTCATCGTCAAACTCGACAGTTCGAGAAGGAGACCGCAAAGAGTCCAAAAAGAAGAAGAGGTTGTCGCCTCTACCTCCGAGCCCACCGCCACGCAAGTCGTCCCAGAAGTTTACCAAGGATCAAGACAATGACGAGTCTCCATCCAAGGCCTCACGAGAGTCGGCTATGCCAGTCATGACAGCCCCGTCACCCATTCAATCTCCCCCACGAAGAACACCAGCTGCTTCACCCAGGGCAACCCCCCCTGCTCGCCCCAGCCGAGACAACACCCCGGACCTGCAATCCCAGCTGTTTGGTCCCTTGCCCATCATCCACAGCAATCTATCTTCATCTTCCTTGTTAGGCGACAAACGTGGACCGGAGCTGCAGCCATTGTCACGATCAACGACTCCCCTGTCATACCCAGATAACCCTCAGCAAACCTCCCGTTTGCCGGTCGGCAGGGAGGCTACACCGGCCCCGCGCTCAGCAAATGCCGTGGACACGAAGAAGAAGAACGACAGAACCGTCACTCGTACCCCGAGCCCCGGTACATCGACCTTTTCTCGGTTTCCCTTCTTTGGGCGGCGGTCCAAAACAGCGCCGGAGGTTCCTCAAGTCGACAAGAAGGACAAACCAGCTCGTAAGGGGCCAGCCGCCGGCACTGGGCATGAAGGTTACGGACGCCTGGGTGGTCTCCGAAGGCGAAGTGGAAGTTCATCGACCAACTTAGCCCGCCCCAGTCTAGGACCCGGTTCCTCTCAAGACAGCCTCAGCAGCAACCAGCCAACTGATCCTTTCCTTCTGGAGCGGATGAACCCCGTCATCATTTCCGGTGGAGGGCTTGTCGACAACAGAAACAACAGCGTAGACTTGGTTCGTTCAGAGAGCTATCAGAGCCTTGGATACGCCTCTGAGGTGTCCACAACTTCCAGCATTGGGCGAAGCCTAGCCCCATCAGCCATTCCTCGAGGTGGTCCTCATCCCTCCCTCAGTCGTCGCCGTCCTTCCGACAGTAGCGATTCCGAGGCAGTGACTATGAAGCCCACGTTGGCGTTCAGGCGATCCGTTCAGCGTTTGCGTTCGTCTCCGGACCAGAGCCCACTGAAGCTCCCTCAGCCCATCAACACCACTGGGATTACGTCGCCGTCGATTAACAGCCATGATACAAGCATTCTTACGGATGATTCGCAATTCGAAATGCATAGAGAGGTCATTCGTGGCCGCATTGCCGCAGCCACTGCGACCACACCGAAGAAGCTCACCAAGCGTACACGCTCTCCAAGGAAGTGGAATCTCTTCAGCCGATCCCAGAGCCAGCCGAACACCAAGAAGTCAGAGAAGGATGCTGTGCCAGTCGCTGCAACCGTGAAAGTAGTACAGCACAAGCCGGCTGCATTTTACACTCTGATGGACGGTTCCGAGCAGGAAGACATTGGTACTCCAGACGTCGAGGAGATCCTTCGCGAGGCTGAAGTCTTTGATCTTCCATCCCCTCCGCCTGTTCTGAAAGAGAGACGAACATCCTCTGCAAGTCAGACCAACAGGAGAGAATCCTTGAGCAGACTTTTGCAGCCAACCAAGTCATCGCAAGCTCGGAGAAACTCGGCGACCGCAAAGTCAACTTCAATCCCAGCGATTCGGTCCATGAAGCCTACCCACGCACCTCAGTCTAGTGTTTCGAAGCCAGCTGAACCGCGCCCAAGTCGCCTGCCTCAAGTTGGCCGGATCCCCAAGGTCGTAACCTCTCGGCCAGAGCACACCTCGTCGAGAAGCTTCTCTCGGCCTTTCAACAGAATCAGCATGCAGATGCCGCCGCAAGCCGCAAGCTTCAACCCGGATTTTGTTGCTTCGGGTGCGACCCCAACCCCAGAGCTATCCACGCCCGAACTGTCTCGTGGAGAATCTGCGGCGACTAGCGACAAGACCAATTCGGACCCTCGCTCTTCTCTTGTTCCCGTCAAGACGCCTGAAATGATTCAAATCGGTAGAGAGTTTCTGGCGTTTTCTCCTCGAAAGAACTCTGAGTGCACCACAAGCACTGATTCCAGCAGCCTCGGCATGTACACACTTGCAGATGCCATGGCTTACGTGCCCGATCCGAATGCACCTCTTGTTGAGGACGAGATCTGGGACGAGTACAACGATCTGATTGGCGACGTGCCACCATCTGCAACCTCATCAAAGGGCGCCCCGTTCTATCTCGAGACCCACGGCTCGCGAATGTCAAAGAGGTCTTTGAAGCCTCTCGAGTCTCCTACCATTGCGCCGCCATCAAAGACTTTGGAGAAAAACGTCGAGGTCGAAGTTGGCACTACAACGTCTAGTGTCTATTCCGCCGATATGACCGAGCGTCTCAAGGCTGCCTTTGCATTGAAGCCTGAGGGAGAAATCCTTGTACCTGTTGGCGAGATCCCTGCTAGAGTCATTGACCGCGAGAGCACTGAGCTAGCACGTAAGGCGACGGCCGCGTCTCAGAGAAGTAGCGGCTCGTCTCGCAGATCAAGACAGTCCGACTGCAGCTGCAAGTCTTCCGAGGATGAGTCGCCGCTTTCTCAAGTCAACCTTCGTGTCGGTTCGATGACGGTCAGCAAGTGGTTGTCTTTTGGTCATGTGCTCTTCAGCCCAGCCCGGGACCAGCTTCTGGACGTTGTCGGCTCGCTGAAGCGTCATTCTATTCTCGTTGTTGATGGCCTTGGTAACGATGACTGGTCGTTTTACGCGGCAGAGACATACCCTGCTGCTACCTTCTTCAACCTGTCACCCCGTGCGCCGTTGCCAGAGGAGCATAAGAACTCGTCAAGCTTCCCATTGAGCCCGCCAAACCACCATCAGATTCAATACCTCTCCCAGATGGACAAGTTTCCCTTTGGCGCAGAGAGCTTCACCTCGGTGGTCTTCCGCTTCCCTGCAGCCGCGCTCGAGTCTCACTACCGGAACATTGTTTCGGAAGCACGTCGAGTTCTCAAGCCGGGTGGCTACCTGGAGCTCTCAATCCTTGACGTTGATCTCAATAACATGGGCAACCGGGGCAGACGTACCGTCCGCCGACTGAAAGAACGCATCCACGTCAACAACTCGGAAGTCAGCATTGGCTCGTCCTCTGACCTCATTCTACGCCTCCTCGGGCGCAAGGGCTTTTCCGATGTCAAAAACTGCCGCGTCGGCGTGCCGGTGGCGAGCGTTGTGACTCGATCGGAGAGCGGCAGCAAGAAGCCACCCGTCGCTGGCGCCCGGAAGGCCAAGGAAGTTCGCAGCCTTGCCGAGATGATGAATGAGGACGGCGATTCCGCCGATGAGAACATCACCAAAATGGTGGCCAAGGTGGGCCGGTGGTGGTACAGCCGCTGTTATGAGAGCGCAGCTGGGACTATCAGCAAGAGCATCTGGTCTGATCGTGCGTTGCTTTCCGAGTGCGAGGAGCTTCGAACAAGCTTCAAGCTCATGGTTTGCTACGCACGTGTACCGGATAGGGCGCGAACCGCAAGTATTTGAGTCTTTCAAGTCTCTTCATTCCTTGTTTGCTTCAGCCTGGTTTCCTTACTGTCCTCATTTCCTACCACAACGTACATGACCCATTCCAACGTATCTTTATTACAAGGGCATCATTATGGGAGATTCGGAACGGAAGAGCAAGCATCACAAGATCCAAGAGGGCGCAAGCCCATGATCGACTCTACCCCACAGTGGCTGAGTCTTTACCCCCTTTTACACAACGAAGCAGAGCAGCCGGTGAACACAGCACGGCGTTTGCGAGAGGGCTCATCTGACCCATTCATCCTTGGCTGAGTGGGCATGGATAGCCTCCTCATCATCCCTTACTATCATATTTCCTTACTATCTATACGCAAGCCATCACTGGCGAAATATGTAACACATAGTATTGGGTCTCGAAACCCGTGGTCCTGTATTTGTCGACTGGCTGTGCCATGGCGAGAACGCCCCTTTCTCTTCTCTCATCCATCACTTTCACCACAAAAGCAAATGGCGCGATATTAATATTCTCTTTCTACAACCTCATCAGCGATAGGACACTCTTTGGGAGCGGATTAGCAAGGAAAGCTGGACTGGACTGAACTTGGAACGCAGTATGGGTGCGAATAATGTGATGGCTGAGCCGTTGCGCTTCTCTTTTGGGTTGTCTCTCTTTCTTTCTCGCTCAACCGGAGCGCTGGGTTTTGGGACGTGGTATCATGACAAGGAACGAAACGAGAGAGACAAGAGGATGAAAAGCGTGGTGGCTCGAGGGCCAACAGGAGAGGAGGAAATTGGCAACGAGAGTACGACATGATGAATCATGTTGGATGTCTGGACTGTCCTTGAAGCGTTTTGCATGGCACGAGATACCCCAATCTTTTGGTAGCGGAAATGAAATGATCTGATTCTGATGTTGTGTCTCTTCCTTGTGATCTTTGCCGTGTATCATCTCAGCAGTTCCAGTGTTGTCCGAGCCCAAACGGGCGGCTAATTTTCCCACAGAAGAAGCTGACGAGGACTAAATGAACGCTTTTTCCCGGTCGGGCTATCGGTAGACCGGTGGCTGGGTGGTCGTGGGCCTAGCAGAACGTTTTTCCCACCTTGCCGTGGTTGCTGGGCTGAGTAACCTCGACTCTCCTGGGAGAGCGAGGTGAAACTAAGAGGAGAACATCGACCTTTTCCGTGCTTTTTGTAATCAAATCGAATCTCAAGTAGACAAGGCGTGTGTGTGAGTTCCCCATTTTCCTAACTTTCAGTTTGGCTGGTCTTCTTTGAAGCAGATCGGCATCGAGGCATGGCACGCTGCGTATAAGAACTTCCTCCTTCTCTCGAATTAACGTTCCTAGCATCCAGACTCGCCATTTCAAACACAGCCATCGGATTTCGGAATTAGAGAATGGTTTTGGAAGTATGGCATGATTGGTCGCTTCTAGGATTATCACGGGAAGTTAGTCGAGAGGAGAGATCCCTCCAAATGGCAGAATATGGCAGGCGTCCCAGGTCAGAACAGCGGGCTCAAATCATTTGTATTCAGCTCACGTGAGTTTATTCAGTAGGTAGTTCACATACACACTCATCCATACCATTGTCTCCAGATTCGTAGGAACTTGAAGGTGAAGGAAGCCCTCGAGCCCACGAGGCTTGTTTGGTCGACACGGTGAATCAGACGCGTCTGTTGTTTTTCCTTGCCCCAGGCGTTGCAAAAGTCTTCTGAATACTTCACCTCTTCACCCTGGACCGCGCCAACGCTTGCCTGCTTCCATTCACAGGCTTTCCATCTCCCTTCTTCACCCGCCTTGATCAAAACTCCCAAACAACCACCGCGTTTTTTTCCCCTCTTCATCTCGGGCCCACGCAGGCTTCTTTCCTCCTTTTCCAAATTCCACACTCCTATCCATTGTGTCCCTTGCGATTCATACCTCGACAGCTTCTTTCCTTCTCGACCGAGCGCCACCGGAACATACATCACCGCGACTCGGTCGCCTCTTCAGCCATCCTTCCTCGTCCGTCATCTCATCGCGAAAATGAGCTCCCGCAATATCCCCAAGCGCAATGCTACCGGGGCATTCGCGACCCCAATCGATCCGCCTCAGCTTCGCGCTCACCCTCGCGCCCATCAGGAACAGGACGGCAACGAGAATCTCATTGACGAGACTGCCAAGATGGCAAAGAAGCTCACTGAGAGCCCCTCCCAGACCCAATGCGTCTTTGGCAATGAAGACATTGCCCCCGGCACCAGCATTGCTGGCGTCTCTGGCCGCCTTGGCGATCCCAAGCTTGCTTCGATGCGGAAGATGGTCCTTGACTCAGTTCCTGAGGGAAGTCAGGTCAAAATCATCTACATCGTCACCAAGGTAAGCCATCTCCATCTCGTATCATCTCAGCAAGCCTCACCGCCTTTCATTCCTGCGATATTCACGCGTAATGCCGCTGCTAATCATGAATAAAGGAGGATGGGAACAACGATCTCCGAGCTGGAATAGCCGACAATGCCGCTGCTGCACGAGCTGGATCTTCCGAGGTGGGCCGCTTTGTTCAGCGGAACAATGCGGTTCAGGACCGCATTCGCGCCCGGGTCCACCAGCACAGACTGGGTGAGAACCATGACGAGGAGGATGAAGATGTGTCCCCGCGGCCTCGAAAGCGTCGCCGAGCCTCCTGCCGAGTCTCGCCTCTTCACATGTCGCCTGGAGGCCTCAAGATTAAGCAAGAGGACGAGGATGAAGAAGAGGAACAGATCAAGGAAGAGGCCGATGATGAGATCCAGGAAGAAGTCGATGATGAGGTCAAGGAAGAGGTCGATGACGAGGTCAAGGAAGAGGTCGACGACGAGTTCAAGGAAGAGATCTATAACGAGTTCAACGAAGAGGTCGATGATGAGGCTCTCTTCTATCCAGCACCTAACGAAGTCACCAATCGCAGCATCTCCAGCTCGCACGACATGCACAGAGCGACATTCTCCCTGGATAGTCCTCATTTTGATACTAGCTTTCTGTCCTCAGTTCGAACCGCCCATCAGACCAACACCTCTGATAGCAACAACAATGGTGATGAGGAGGACGACGAGGAACTAGTCCAAGTGAGATACACTGGAGATTACTTTGAAAACTTTTACAATGCATATGCTGCCGCCTTCCCCTCTGAGGGTCTTCCTCCCTATCGGAGATGGGATGATCTCCCCCTTCCCCGACTGCGTTGATCAGAGCGAGTGAGTACGATGGAGAGAGTATCACCGGCACTCACTAGCTTAGAGATACGCAAGAAGGTCTCGAGAGAAGTCCTTGAGGAACAGGACTTCTTTGGTCTGCGGGTATTGATTTGCATTTGGACGGACAGACGAGTGCTGTGGGCTTTCTAAAGGTTGTTTAACAAGGAAGACATGGAGTCAATGGGACAGAGAGTTTGTTGGTCACTACGTGTAGTATTAGAACAAGAGGATGGTGAGAAGGGCTTGTACTCAAAGAAGAATTGCAAGCTACCTTAGTTCACCCAGAGCTACCAATACACCCTGAGCCTGTAATCCTTTCATGGACAGTGCTTTGAGTGAATCTCTTTCGACCTAGACTATAAAGAGAAAGTCCTCTTTGTAGGTAGTTAATTCAATCAATCACCTGACGTTGCCAAGTGTGGTGCCCGTTGCGTACAGCATCCGAATGCTGCCAGGGTCACGATACACCATAGTACCTGGCGAATACGTGTTGCTGGTACCGTAAATGGGTTCAGTCCAAGACTTGTCATTGGGGGACTTGTATGAACCGTAGTCATACCAAGCATGGATGGTGAGTCTGTCGGGCTCGGGACCAAGCATGATTGAATAGTCTATTAGACAGCGTGAACAGTGGCCATTCACTTCGAATCCCGGCTGATTGACTGCCAATCTGATGGCTTTGCCAAATTCCGTGAGGGGGCCATCCCCGTATTCAGATCCGCCGATGTGCCCACAGATTCTCTCTGAAATTTGCCAAACTACAAGGCCCTTCGGATAACTCAGTGCCCGCTGAGTATATAGTATGAACCTATCGGCTACAACTTTTGGCGCGGCGTGAAGAGAAGTCTTGGTCTTTAGACCTGGGGTAAGGGCATACTCGAAGGTAAACGGTGACATGATCTTCTTCAAGTACTCCTGGTCGGCGGCTGTTTTCAGTCGTGTAAGCTTGAGTGCGAGTTGAACATGGCTCTCTCGAAGATCGAAACGGGATAAGAAAAATGCTCTATGGTGATCATGTGGGGAATCACGCAGCAGATGCCAAGGTACGTCGTTCGTATCAATACGATGGAGCTGGTGGCAGCCTCCGCAGCAGACCCAGTGGTTGGGTGAGGTGAATGCCAAACCAGCCAAAAAGTCTAGCTTTTGACCGACGGTAAGGCGAGTGAACAGGTGCCTCCACTCTTTCTGGAGGAAAATTTGCATGTCTTTGCAGGTTTGACGCAAAATGAACTGGTCATGCAGTTCAAGAAAGCTGATGATGTGGAACAGCATCTCATTCGGAAGCTTCAAGAAACTCGGTACCGTGTATGTCTTCGGTTGAATCCGGTGAACTGAACCCTTCACAAGCGATTTCACCCTCTGGGAAAACCTCTGCACCAAAACGCGGCCCAAAAACAACCGCCACACCACGCCTCCCTTTTTATCACTCGCGGGACCAAATCGGCCTCGCAGGGCCCGCACGACACCTCGCAGGCTACAATCATCCTCCGCAGCAGCAGTTGCCCGCGCGACGGACAGCACGCTCGCATCGACTGTTGCATGGACCCAGTTCCACACGGCTCGGTACTCCTTTCTAATATCATCGCGCTCGACCACAGCTTCATAGTACTCTGCAAGACGTGCATCAAACTCCTCACGAATGTCGTCGCGGGTGACTACCGCTGGCACAGGTGGCAGGGGCTGCTGAGGAGACCTGCGCGCCCTTGACGAATAGGCTCGGAAATACTGCTCTTCGAGTTGAACCTGTCGCCATGAAATCAGCTCATCGATCTTTGGGATGTAGAGGATCCGCTGTGTGGGATCCGAGGCGTTGGGTGGTGCCGTGGGGTCGATGTATTCCCAGATGTTATGTTGATGGGCCTGGAATTTTAGCTGTATTAGCCATGAAGGCCAGTCCTTACGATGTCTTAAGCGTGCCGTAGTCGGGCTGTCAGTTTTCATGGTGAAGGTTTACGCAGTGGTACTAGACTGTATGTTGTTGAAGAAAAGAGTTCAAGTAAGTGGCGCTTTTCAAAGAGCTGGCCACGATTCGCTTCGTTTTGGCGAGGAACGCAGGCCTTTATAGATTTGGCGACCGTTCTCACCAGGTTCTTGGGAACTTTGACAGAAAGGTTGGGTGCGGTATTGGGTCGACCAGACTTTGCCGAAGGCGACGTCAAGGTTGGAAAGTTAAAGGGGGGGAAAGGAGAAGGGGTTTTTCATTTGGAAATGTGAGGTTTCTTATTTCCAAATAACACAATTATCCCATCTGTTCGGTAACCAATTTCATACTTTGTATCTTGTATAAGCATTGTCTCCTGTTTAAGTCAAGGTAGATTTGGAAACTGCATCTTTTAAACCATTCATATCTTGATTACTTACTATTGCTCTTCTTCCTGTTTACCTTCATCTCTTGAAACCAGACAATGATGATCGGGCGAGTCAAGGAGCAGTGCAGGAGAGCCACGATACGCAGTCTTTCGCCTGTCATAAACCGCAACCTCTCGTTCAGCCACCACATACGACCATACCCATTGGAAAACTCGGGATCCCGTCCGCTCTCCCATAGATAAGCCAATGAGGGCCGGATTAGTAGTTGGGTCGGTGACGACCAGCGAATACCTGGTGTTGTATGTTTTTGATCTTTTCGATGAAGATATAGTGAGTTTTGTTGCGGTTGGTGACGGTGCATGTTTTTTGGTGGTTTTTGGTGGGGATGGCGGGGATGGCGGGGTTGGTGGGATTAGTGGGGTCGCGGCTTATGTTAGATTTGCTGTCTTTTGCTAGTACATGTTCTCTGTGTCACTGACGTGCAAACAAGTTTCGAAATAGATGGTTTGCCTTGGTATACGTCCAGCGATAGTTTACAATTGTCATCTGAGAAGGGATTGGCTCGCGTATTTGGGCAACAGGACTGGCCAGATCAATTTGGTAAGCCCAAGTCTACCAGTGAACGGGTCATTATTGAGCAAGGAAACTCGCCTGAAAACGTATTTGGGACTGAGCATATGATTGAAGGTTTAAGATGCGTTGGGTATACTGAAAATATGGGCGCGATTAATGCTCACCCACATTTAAAACGATAGAAGTAAGATAAAAACCCTCGACTGGCTCCGCTCTTGTCTAGACTGGATGTGATAGTATGTCTTGATCATTGCTTTGACGGACGCATCGGCTATCTCTACTCTTTGTCTACCTACGCTTTTCGATACGCGGTCAGCCGTTGGAGCAGGTACTGGAGAACTATATACGTCTCCTCGTTTCCCTCCACGTCTGACAAGGGAATTATCTCGGGAAAGAAGGTCTTGGTTGAGCTTTTGTCTCTCACCTCTAGGTGCTAGTTCTACAAGGTCGATAATGTTCGCACCTATTTTACGTATCTGCTGCTTCAGTTGTCGGCCAATCTTGCGAAGCTCAATATCCTACTAATGCCATACCATCTTACACTCGAGGATACTTTTTGGGAGGGCTTTGACACCAACAGCTGTGTAAAGGTACGCTATGCCTGTAAATTCTCTTCGCTCTCGTCGGAAAGGAGGAGGAACGATTCAATTGGTGCGGCCAGGCGATTGACGGTTGGCAGACGGCTCCATGGAAACGCGTATCAGTACCTTGATTATTTATAAGGGTCGGCTTGGGTTACGGAATTAGGCTACTTAGGATGTTCGTGAGAATACAGTGTAAAGACAAAATGCGAATGAGCTGAAGTTAAAAACGGGCACAGGAGAAGGGAAGGTTTTAAGGGAGGAGGGGGGGGGAGGGGTCGCAGCAATAAGCAGTTGAATGAGTGCTGTTTCAAGATCAATGTTGAAGCCATAGCAGTCGAGAAACGTCGCCTTTGACTACTGTTAGATGGCCGACCTCCCGACGGTCGCACTTTCCAGAGGTTTCTATGGGACCGTGTATACAACAGCTGTCGAACTAGATCTGGTCTGTAGATTGCTTCACATCCGGATTGACTTGAAAAATTTAGCACCGAAAGATACCGCTCAGCCAACATATACATTTGTCTCGATGAAACCATCACACTGCCAGTACCCGTCCTCCAAGAATAAACACTATGCCGACCATGACGACCAGAAGTGGATACCGCTGCCCATCATCCGAGCATCAAGCGCGGGGCGGATAGGCAGACATCGCGCAGGCTGACTCCGTGCGGGGTAATTTCGTCCACACTCATAGCATCCACCGGGCAACAGCCCATTTGAATTTGAATCATTCTTGTCCCAGGACTATTCGCAGGAGATAGAGGACATATAGCAATCGAGCAATTCTGTCATCTATACTCTCCGATCAGCATTTCGACACACCAATGAACGAAACCGTTGCTCCTTCCACCAGCGAGGACCTTGCCGTCGACATGGCAAACGATGACGATCACTCTCGCGAAACCATGCGCGACAACAACACTCTCCCAACACATAAGCTCGAGCACTTGAAGGTCGGGGCAAATGGTATACAGCTCCTGGTGTCTACGAAAAATCACTTGTATGATGCCAAGAACGTTGAGAGCGGCGACAGCTCGTTCCAATGCGTGGGGGCTTGGAGCGAGGGGTCTGTCCAGGAACTTGGAAAAATGGTAGTTTCGCATCGAACACATACGGACCGGCCACGTAGTACCCCTCCTGCAACGACTTTTCGAGGGACAGGACGGACGACGGCCTCCTTTACACAAGACTCTGGCCCATCTACGGCGACATCATAGAAGGGATTTGGCGTGTTTAATGAACCTTGATAACTCTATTTTTTCGTTTGGCTCTGGAAGAAAATCCGCAGTGCCTCTTCTGATACCGACCCAACAAATTGTATACCTCTGTCGCCTGTGCTCGCTCCTTTCACGTTGAAGAGATCTCCCAGAGTAGAGACAAACAACTGCTGACCATCATGGCCTGTGCTCATGTCCTCTAGTACATGGACCCCCTTGACTGCTCTTTGTGATGCGGCATTGCATATGGCCAAACATTCTTTAGTACTGTCGAGCTCCTTCTTCAAGCTCTGAAAGTCGGTTTCTGTGGGTAGAGAAATCTCGTTGGTTCCTCGTGCCAATCGTCTCTTGTTCTCATCTTGGTGCCGGTGCAGCTCCGACACGTTGTCAGCTATCATCTGCTTGCAGTGGTCCAAAGTCGATAGAGTCATGACAGTCGCATGCCCCAGGTCCCGGCAGGACATCCCTTGAGATGGCGGACTGCCTGGAATCGGTTGAAGGCGCATGGTGTCGATGTGAGCTTGAACTTTGGCACAGATCTGGAGGCAAACCTCCGTGCTGTCCCTCTCATTCTGGATCCGATCTATGTCGGTGGTAACTGCCGGGGATGAAGGTGTATTGTTTGAAGCAAGACGGCTCAACTTCTCGTTGATATCTTCGAGGTGATCCTCCAGGTCTTGTGTCGTGCTGTGAATCATGTCCTTATATTCCCCAAGCAGCTTAACGGTGACCGTAGCAGAGCGACTGCCTCGTATCATTAGCACGCACAGTACACGAGATATCTCGACGAGTGACTGACAGATTCGCATCACCTAGAGCGATGGCTATCGTTGATTTATAGCCCGCTAGCATACTGGTGAAGCCGTGTATATCGCTCTGCATATACCTCACTTTTACCCAGCCTCGGAAGCTAGTTCTCGGCCGCCCAGAATACTTGGTGCACTCAGTCATCAGCGTATCGAAATCAGCACAAGCTCGACGACATTGAAGGAGAGGTGTCTTGAGTGACGCTAGATTCACGTCATCCTCGATCTGGATGTGAGCGTCCAGGGACTGGAGGACCTCCTTCAGGGCCGAAAGTTCATCCAAGAGTTGCTGAACCGATCGCTGGTGACTACGAAAGCTTTGAATTGTGTCAAACAGAGTTTGGCTTGTCTGTATCGTCGCCGTGACTATGGCAATTAGCGCCGAGGCAATGCCTAGGGCTTCAGCCATCGTCGGTGGTCAGAGGTGATGCTATTGTGTCAAATGGCGAGGAGACGGAATGCATGAATACCTTCGGCATTACTCAGAGACTCCGCGCAGCTGCTGCTGGCCTCTTCTACCTTACTGCCCACTGCATATCGAGCATAAAAGTGGACCTGTACTCCCTCTAAACTCACGTCCTTACTGCAGTGTACTTCCCCTTGCGATTACTCACCAAACGGAAAAGTTGTGGTTGAACACATAAAATGCTGTATGCTGGTTTTTTTCTCCATGCCGTTGAAAGGGATCGATAGTCTAAGGTATCGTCTCAAATAGCTAGCATTTTCATAGCGACGAAGGAGACCTAGTGGACAAGGAATCGCAGTTGCGTCCTCGGCCGAATCACTATGGAACACAGTCAGCTCTTCTCAGTGGTACCTTGTAATCCCGGCCCAAATTTCATGATATCTTCCACGCCAACTCTTGGGTCATTCGAACTCGCGAAATCAATGATAAGGTAGAGTCATGCACAAATCTTCATCAAGATTCTGCGCTGGCATTAACTCATGGCATATCGTTCTCCTCGTGATTATTTTGTCATGACGTAACAGTGCTTTCGCTTCGACGTGTCTGTCCCGTCGAGGCTCTCAATGGTCACAAGGAGGGGAGGTGTATTCACAGATTATCTCGCATCAGGGAGGGTGCAGGTTGTGTTCTTTACTCCTAGGTCCCTGTCTGGATATGAAATGAGATGAACTTTCAGCTTCGGCTGCATCTACGGGAACGGCTTAGTTGTGACAGTCTTGCCGTACGTCTTCATTTGCTTTATCAGGCGCCTGTTATCGCCGCAATGCCGAACATCCTGAGAGCCATCAATGAAAGGCGCGATTGTACCGTTGGGCAGAATCGGCTGCTGCTCTATCGTACCATCCGCTGCGCAAAGAATGCTCTACATGAAGCATGTTAGCTCAGAAAAGCTACATGGCGACTCAGTGTTCGGGTCATAGGTACCTTGCGCATATAGTCGAGGCAATGCGGCCAGTGATCGTGGTCGTTCCAGTCCAGTCCCGGGTCGACCCCCCGATGGGCTTCTTGCAGAACGTTTCGAAATATTGAGAGACAATGGAGTTGGTGAAACCTGTATTGGTACTCAGCCAGTATCGTGTTGTAGTGCGTTTTTCTTTGAAGGGAAGGTTGCACTTACATGGCGATGGTGGCGCTCATACCCGTGTTCCCTTGGGCGGGATCCGTGAGGTTGAATATGATGGAACCGGAATCTCCTTCAACGTCTTCCCAGAGGCTGTCGTACTTGGGATCCAGCGACATATGAGCCCAGCTCCGACCAAAGACTGCCTCGATTTGGAAAGGGCGGGATTGTGCATTGTGATGGAAAACACCGTTGGGTGAGGTAAGAGCAAACGCCACGGCTGCCAGAATGAGTGACGTGGTACAGGCGCAATAGACCAGTAGAACAGTGATCAGAGAAGTCAGCTTGTATGGTCTTGCTGATACGTCTGGATACACGGTTTCTCCTTCAGAGGTTTCGTCGTTCGCTTCTTGACTTTGAAGCTGAGAGTACTCAGACTTTGGGTCCATCATCTCCGTGTTGGGTGGTCGATGGATGATGACGGGTTTACAGCGAAGACTGGGGAGTGAGTGTTAAGGGACAATGCAGCGGGGATGTCCACTACAAATACAAGTCGCCCATTGAATTTGCCTTCCCTACCCCGCTATGCAGAGAGCGAGGGGGGGAGACAGACACAGACACATCAAGGCCATGTTACATATATTGCAAGCGTTTGACAAAGAGAGTGAGTACGCAGAATTCTGTCAATCGGAATTGGAGGTGCAATGGCGGGAATGGCTCATCAAATTACAGATTGGAGTTCATGAGTATTTTCTGTGTCCCAGAACGAGTAACATTTGGTGCTAGCAGACTGAATAGGCACCCCACACCCGTTTTCACATCAAGGAGCTCTACACAATATGTTCTCTATCCAGAACTCGCAGCCCATCCCCTTCGCACTCGTGATATCCCACTTTCAAGTGAATATTCACCGTCCCCCAGTCATGCGCAAACGGATCCGCCAGCCACGTCTGACAATGCACGCTGTGGTGCGCGTCCCGATCCCGGTTGGTGATGCCGCCTGTGGCCCGGAAGAAGCGCCGTAGATAAAACGCGCAATGCCAGTAATGCTGGCCCCAGGTAGAGTACAGGCCGTTGCCCTCCCCAAGAAGTACCTGATCCAGCGAGACCTCTTTAAGAGACGAACTTTTTGCTGCTGTTACCTCACTATTGTTGTTGCGGTAGTATTTCCAGCCCTCCTTGTCATGTAGCTTGATGAAGTCGTCGTGTAAGTCGGCGTCAAAGCAATTGTGTGGCACCCAGCTGTATGACCAGAGCTGGAAATGACAACCCTTGGTCCGGGCTTCGTCTGGGCTCACGCCGCAGCTTGTAATAACCGGAGCAGCTGGCGCAATGACATTCGTGACCGCTGATGTCCGGTTGATGATCAGAGGCACCGCCCATAGGATAGATGAGGCGATCACGCCAATGAGGAAAGGACCGAGGAACCTTTTCACGGATTCGAGCCTTGTGTGTTTCCGTTCCTTGCTAGTGTACGGTGATTCGGCGAGGAAAGGCTCGTCCTCGTCATATTCGGCTTGAGGAAGCGTCGTCATATCGATTTTACGCCTTGTGAGGTGTCAGATCAATCAGGAAGCATCCCAGGTAATCGAATGCAGAACTCACGAGAAACTGAGTGAATTGGTTCTCATCAGTTGTGAGGTTCCTGCTCTGTGAGATCTGGTTCACGATGGTGCCAATACAACAGCCGCTACAAAACGACTCTTACTCTCTGCTCTGCCCCCTCCTCCTCTTCTTTTCGTCCTGCTCATCCCCCTCATCCTCGCACAAGACTTGATCCAACCCGCGTCTTCGATACTTTCTCACTATTTCCGTCTATAACGATATCACGATAACAGAAGTCCCCCAGTGCGACAGCAGTGCTTTGCCTCTCGAGCTAATGCATGCAGTCAATGCTTGATTGCACCAACATGGTGGGTCGGAGTTCCGTCTTCAAGGTTGTTGTCTCTGCAATCACCACAGATACGTCAACCCAATCAGATGGTAGCAGATTGCCTACTCTGTCAAAGAGTAACACGTATCAAGCATCTTTGTTGCCGAGTTTACCGATGCGAGGTGATGAACTTTGCAAAAGTTCTGTATCGTGCAGTTGTATTAGACTTTCCCCTCGAAACTACCAACCGGTTCTAGCCTCCGAGAGACATGCATCAGCATCCTCCAAACACAACGTTTCCGCTCGTATCCATCTCGTCAATCCCCTCAGCCTGCAGCGCCCTCCACAGCAGAAGCATGGTACAGTGCTTGGAGTGATCAAAGTCCGCCGTCAGCTTATCCACCCTGCCACCATCGGCAAATGCGCGCGCCTTTCGAACCAGCATCCACGCGCAGTGCGTCAAGTGTTCCCTCTCCGTGCCCCACCATTTCTCGCTCCTCCCGAGAGATGCGAGGTCTTTCATGCTGAGCTCCTCTTCTCCGGCCTGGTCCCGCCAGTATCGCCAACGAGATTGGTTGTGCGTTGCGCCCCCGGCTTCGAATTCGGCTAGGCCGTAGCGGGGGCAGGTGGCGGGCAGCCAGGCTTTGGCGAGAGCGTCAAAGGTGCATCCTGCTTGCTGGGCTTCGGCGACGCTGCTGCCGCAGCTCAGTTTCTGCCTTGGTGTTGTTGATTGCAGAAGCCGGAGGTGTAGGGATAGTAGAATCAGAAGCAAAGTTCCGAGTATTGTGACTGTCGCGAGTAGCGATAACAATACAAGTCGACTTGCCTGTCGGGTAGTAGAGCCCTTTGTCTTTACAGAGGCGTCGTCTATCATGTCGTGTTTGAGCCGCTGATACCTGAAATCAGTCGACGGAAGCTTCGATGCTTGGTGAGCTAACATGTTGAGAGTTGAGGAATGGATGTAGTGTGTGGTATCATGATATGCGGGTAGTATGTGGACGTGCCCTATTGATATAGGAGGGGAAAAGCTAGGCGGTGTCAAGTATAAGCCAGAACAGTGTGGGATGCACGTCTTGACAGTGAAAACATGAATCCTGAGCTTGCTGTGATTGATTCGAATCTATCTAAAAAAAATATTGAAGAGGACGTCTTGAACTTGACAAGCTCAAGAATATGTCGCATACGTGATAATCAACGCTCGTTGTTCACGAAGTGCTGAAAATCAAAAAACAGTCCTCGGTCTCACTCCATGTCAGTGTTCAACGCCACCCCAGCCACAGTACCATACCCCGGATCCAAAAAGATCTTGCCGCAATGTTTGATATGCTTCTCATTGTCCGACCGCGGTTCAACCATCTTGCCGTTGAACCGCGCCCTGTGCTCCTTTCTCCAATAGAAGATGCAGTGAATGACATGCCAGTGACCAGACATGTGGAACCGCAGCTCTGCCTGGTTGTCCGCCATCTTGGCAATTTCTTGAACGCTGATCTCTTGAGCATGTGCGGTGTCAGCCCAGTACGTCCACTCGCCGTTGGGGCCGGGCCCGGAGCGCTCAAACTCGGCCGTCAGCTCGTCGTCCCGACAGTGCTCGGGAAGCCAAGCGGCAGCCAGGGAGTCATATTTGCAGCCCAAAGTGACTGCTTCTGCGGTGGAATTTCCGCAATCGCAAGACGTAACTGCGGGTGCCGCGTGCAAGTTGTCCGGTGTTGCGGTTCCCTCCGAGTGGAAGTGAGAGTGGATGTTTGTTGGAGACTGGAGGAGGCTAACAAAGCCCAAGATTGCGAATGCAACCAAAATCAAGTCCTTCATGGTTGAGATTGACGGCCTGAATAGCTGGCGATATCGTGAAGTTTTGTGGCTTCGAAATCCCGTAGTTGAAGAGACTGAGTCGTCGTCACAGTTTTCGGCCATGAGAGACTGCTCTTCGTCGTGTGTACTATGCCTGAATGATAGTATTAGCCCTTGATTCTCTTCAAAGAAGCATCCTAGACTCACCATTTTTCTTTGGGCGCCATTTTCAGCGTGGTCAGTGTCAATGTCAAAGCCAATGCTGGAAGACTTCCGGTTGAGGGAGATGTTGATGTGAGGGATCGCGACCTGGGAGGATCTGTCTATGCCCTTGAGGAGGGGGAATGGTCTACGTCTGTCTCATACATGCTCATGGCTTTCGGGTCTAGCATGATTGCTTACTAGGTTAGTCCAAATACCCGTCCTTGATCTGCACGGTGACTTGGCAAACATGCCAGGGTCGGTCGTGGGCCCGGAGGAAGGATCATGGATGCTATGCGGACTGTCACCTAGCTGAGTGGACCGAGATGCATGAAGCCGATAACACAGTAGTATGGAATTGGAAGGATTTCCAAGCGCCGTGGGATCCGAATGATATGCCCAGGAATAGAAAGATGGCGCGAACTATGAAGTTCCCATGCCGAGGCCGCGGTTCTAAGCCATCAACAATTCTTCTTCTGGGGGCCTCTTCGGTTCGCTCTTAGGATAGAATCTTCAGTTCCAACCATCTCCCTTCTTTCCAAACTCAATGGCACCAAAACACAGTTACAGCCAAGTTTCTCAGACATCTGATGTCAAATCCTCCATCGAGGAGGAGCTCGACGAGAGCGACAATGGCCCTGAATCTGGACGCAAATCGAGGCTCCTCTCCCCCATATTCCTCACGATCTTATTGAATGGATTGAGCCTCGTCTTTGGCATCGGCATTGGTGCTTCGATCGTTGCAATCATTACGCATAGGCCAGCAACGCAACAACCCAACAATGCCAAACCATTAGCCGGAACCGTCGCCATGATTGACGGCATCGAGGCGCCAGGCACGCAGTGCGGCGATACTTGGCAAGAAGCTAAAGCTCTCGGCTGCCACTTTGATGTTATGGCATCGCGCTGGTACGCTCCCGAATGCTTCGACCAGACGGCCCTCGAAGGCATGCTCGAGGAACAGCCGTACGTCAACTTCACCTGGTACGAGGACAAGGAGCATACAAGAGTCTACCCCTCCGAGCTCGTCTTGCGGGGCGAGTTCGATAAGGTGTATCCCAGCGGAGACTATCACATCTATCACTGTCTCTACTTGTGGCGAAGACTTCATCACGCCGTGATCAAGAATAAGCCTGTCGATGAGGATTTGCTCGAGTACGGCCACACGCTGCACTGCACTCGCATGATAATGCAGTGGATGGATCCGAGCATACCTAGGACGACAATTTCTTCCGCCACGAGCGGGACGCCGTTCTGCAGGAGTAGTCGGTTGGGCCTCATGGTTGATGGGAGGGTTGAACAGTGACGGGGAGAGGGATTGTTGACTGTGGTTTGTCGTTAGTGGACTTGGCGCTGCTTGGGCACCTCACCTCAGAAGCTTAATCCAAAATATTACCGCTTTCAGCTGTGCCCCTCTTGAATTACGCCGTCTATTGGCTGCCGACACTCTCCATTTCTCCAGCAACAACACCGCACAGACCAGGTGAACTCAACTGAAATCGACGATTGCTTCGAGGTTCCAGCTAGCATCTTCAAGTCTGGCTAAAACCAGATAATCAGAGTTGGTGGTCTCTCATTCAGATGGCCAATGTCGGTATCTCTTGGTTCGGGTATCCGGCAACTTCTTGAGATCCCTGACGGTTGGACAGCACATGAAATGGTGGCCAACATGACGTGACTGACTAAAGTCCCAAACAGTCAACGGTTTTTGGTGTAAGCTGCATGTATCATTGTCTCACTCGGGAGAAATATAACTAAATGAGCACTAGTGTTAAATCTCCGTATTTATTCAAAGTACAGAGTTGATAGGCAATGATAGCTGATCCCAAATGCGGAACGGTGAGTGCCAATATGCATGATCCTAAACGACATATTCCAGGAAGTGGCTAACCCTGACTGGTGATTGCTCCATGAGCGACAATGTGTCGGCTCGGGGCCGCCTTATACTCCGCTAAATGTCTAGTCATCAAGTTATGCTCGAATCAGTACAGGGTAGTATCCATTCGCAGGCCCAGAGCAAGGTTGATACGCACAATATGTGGCCTGACTGTCCGAACACTTCTTCTGGTTTATATACACATGTCCCAGTTCTTCAGTCTCGTAGATCATACGATACTTTCAAGACATCTTTCTTAGTCTCAATCATTACTCTACTAGATCAAAAGATCATCACTCATAATACAACAACTACTTTACACACCTTACGGACAGACAATTCCTACACCATGAAGCTAACGTTCGCCCTCACCGCCCTCCTTGCCACAACCGCCATGGCCGGAGTGGCAAAGATACGCCACGAGGACGAAACTCTTGAAGACAGCTACAAACGTCGCTCCGTCAAAGCTGGAATCGTTCCTGTCAAAGAAGAGGACATCATCTCTCTTGGCGACAGGGCAGTCAAGGCTGGAATTGTTCCTGTCAAGGAAGAAGACATCATTTCCCTCGACGATAGAGCAGTGAAGGCCGGTATCGTGCCAGTGAAGGAAGAAGACATCATTTCTCTGGGAGACCGCTCAGTTAAGGCGGGCATCGTGCCAGTCAAGGAAGAGGACATCATTTCTCTGGGAGACCGCGCTGTCAAGGCTGGCATTGTCCCGGTGAAGGAGGAGGACATCATCTCACTCGGAGATTAGGCAGTCTTAGTCAATGACAGAGACAACTCGAGATTATGGAGGGCAATGGAGATCTGTTGATGTTCTATCGATCTTCGATCAAGTAGCATGCGTTACAATGACATGGCTTCTGCTCAATACATGACAGCTCAAGGAAACAAGAACCTTCCACCTCCAGTTTTTCCTACAGCACCGTGATCTCTCAGGACCCTCATCGCTTCATCGTGACCCCCAACCGCAGCGCTCTGCAGCGGAGTCTGCCCTCTTCGTCCCTTGAAGCTACAGGCATTCACATCAGCACCGGCCGCCAACAAGCGCTCTATTACATCCACTCGACCTGTCTCAGCTGCTGCATGTAACGCCATTGCATCCCCGTAGATTCCTCCCACGGAATGGACATCAGCGCCTTCCCGAAGAAGAAGGTCGGCGACCTCTAGATGGCCTCGCAGACATGCGCCCTGAAGAGCCGTGTAGCCCTTGTACTTTGCCGAGGCCCCATTGATGTCAGCCCCGTGTTGGAGAAGAAGCTTCACTATCGCCAAGTAGCCGCCCCCCGCTGCGGCTTGTAGTGCCGTGTACCCCGCCGTCGGTGATGGCGGAGCATTCACATCGGCTCCCAGTTGCAGCAGTCGGCTGACGAGATGCTCGTGCCCCCGTTCTGCAGCTGCCTGGAGTGCCGTTCTTCCGTTATACCGCGTCACGACAACCGACGACGACGAAGATGTTGTTGGTGACCTGTACCCCGAAGGATGCGGCACAGGCTTCAATGACACCTCGTCGACTCTGGCCCCCGCGCTGAGCAGGATATCAACGACCCTTTCGTTGCCGTGCCCGCAGGCTATCTGCAAGGCGTTCCTTTGGAAATTGTTGCCCCCGCAAAAGTGGATATCGGCGCCGGCGTCGACAAGCATCTGCACGGCCTGTTCGTGGCCGTGCATGCATGCAGCCTGGACGGCCGTCTGTCCGTAGTACCCGTGCGGGGGCTCGTTGACGGCCGCCGGGTCGGCGGCAAGTATGGCGCGGATTTGGTCCAGGTCTCCGCTTCTGGCGGCGAGCTGTAGCGGCGTCCAGCAGTACTCCTCTCCATCGTCAGTCTGCAGGGTCGGGTCCCACGCCGCGTCTAGAGGCGGCAGGGATTTGTGCATGATTGTTGGGCTCTGAGTAAGGTGAGCCAAGGCTCGGAACGGCAGGTGTTATTCGTGGGATCGAGAGGATCAGGAGGGGACCATCCAGCTTGGGGAGCCACCAGGGGACGGGACTTCAGCTGTGATACTGATAAGATGGCAACAGTTCAGGCAAAAGTAAGCCCGTCAAATTTATGCTTGAAGTCGCATGTTGCTTAGTTGTGTGTTGTGGACGACTGAAATGGCTGCATGTTGGTTGGCCAAGACGGGCGTTCGATCCTCTTACATGCGCTAGCTTACCGGATCCTGTTGCTTATCGATCGGGATTCGGCACACGTCTATCATTGAGATGCGGGGGTCAAGAGCGACATGGGTCCGGAAAGAGGTGAACGGTTAGATGAATATCACTATCTCTAGATGCCATCTCTGTATCGAGGACAATGGGCGACAGTCTTACAGAGACTACTTCGCATCTCTCACCGTGACTATCTCGCACTACGCAAGCTGCTGTTCTCCGTTCATTCCTTGACCCAGTTTCCTCGCCTCATTCCAATTACACAGCTATGCCTGAAAAGTGGCAGAAGTCTTTTCGCGATGAATCTGACTTGTCGTCTGAGGATCTCAGTCTAACCGATGAGACTCTCAGAGTACGACGGGCTGGGCCCAAACGCCAAGTCTGGAGGTTATTGGGAGAAGCCGCTCTCGCAGTTGGAATCATCATACTAGGCGGAATCGTCATTCATGATAGAGTTCTTCCAAGAACTGGATTACTGCCCTACGGGCCAGTGAGTATGTAACCCCCCGGCTTGCCTCTTTTCATGAACATCGCTGACAATCACTGCCATTACCATTAGTTCCCCAGAAAGTTGTCACTTTCGGCAACACGGCTGGCTTTGGGCCGGATCTCGTGTATGCGGATCGGCAGATGCTTCTGAACGCTACAAGAATGCAAGAAGTACATGAGAACTGGCAGCAATTATATCCAAGTAAGTCATCTAGTTTACCCATGGGATATCGCTGACCTCCCCATCACAGTCAGTCGAGGCTATTTTGTGGCAGACGAAAACAGCGCAGAATACAAAATCCAGTTCCCACCAGCAGACATCAGCGGCGTGTTATCCCCAGATGACAAGCGCAGCGGCTGGGTTCTCTCTGTATTTCATCAGATTCACTGCCTGGTAAGCATCTGAGAGCCACAATTCAGGGCTATATTCCTCGCTGCTAAGGATAAAAAAGAGCTGACACCAACCTATAGTCAATCATAACGACAAGGCTCGGCATCTCGCGAAAAGAGTTCGCAGACTGGGACCCCTTCAAGTTAGGCCACACAGCACACTGCATTGAGTACCTGCGACAAAGCATCCTATGCTCAGGAGATACCAGTCTTGAGGGCGAGTCAGGGTCGTGGTCGGAGAGTATCGGCTGGGGCCAGAACCATGTATGTAGGGACTACGACGCGCTCATGCGACTGGCGAACGAGAAGGCGGCCTGGGACCTCAGTCACGAGCGCGAGCCGGACCACTCTAAGCTCTTTGAGTCTAACATGGATGACTGTGATTCAGAGAGTGGAGAGTACTGTCACCGATAGGTCTTATCCCGATGCCATCGACAATGAAGGAATGAGGAGATTCTGCCTTCCCCCATATGTCCATGAGCATGGAGATCAACTATTTCAAGCACCTAATGATATTAACATCGCGAATCGCCAACTATTGGCAAAGATTATGCGTATCACTCAGCCATCGCTCGGTTCTGATGCATGTCTCCATCAATCAAGACCGGATCGTATTGCCTGGCGAGGTAGCTGAACTGGTCGGACTGTCGCCCAGATGCGCGAGCCGATCAAGCCCTTCACAAACGGCAAGAGGATGAGTATCGCCGGACGTATGCCGAGACAAACGTTTTTAGCTCAAGTGGCAAGAAAGATATACTAGCAAAAGCTCAAAACACCGGAATCCATCATCCCTGAGAATCCTTTGAAGCTTTTGATCTCACCCCTTGATAACCGTCTTCCATGGAAGGATCATCCACTACCTCAATGACTTGTTTCGAGGGTTCGGCGGTTGAGCTGTCGAAGATAGATTCGATTTCTTCCAGAGTTTTGCCCTTCGTTTCAGGGAACAACCACCATATGACGACGAAAATGGGCACATTCCAGAGACAGTTGATGATGTAGTACCTCCATGAGATGTTTTGGATAGCGAGGGGAATAGCATAGCTCATGCCTGCTCCGATAAGGTAGCCAAGGGCCTGACCGACGCCAACGCCGCGAGCTCTTTGGGTGTACTTGAGAATCTCCGGAGGGTACGAATAGTTTAATAGCATCCTTCAAATTGAGACGATTGATGTCAGCAGGCTGTGAATCAAAGAAAAATGACTGCTACATACCAAGACGAAAAAGCTGCCCAGTAGAAGATGAAGCATACGGCTACGGCCCCTTTCGCGACTGCGGAATCTTTTGTAGTCTCAATTCGTTGCTGTAGAATGGCAAGGGTAGCGAACGATGCAGCTATTACCGTTGTTCCAATCACTAACGGAATGATTTCATAGTGTTAGCGACAGAATCATGATGGCTTTGAGCCAGAATATGAGCTTCGACTGGAGAGACACTTGCAGAAAGATGACCTTCGTCCCATTTTCGAGACGAACCAAACGCCAAACATGGAGCAAAGTGCAGCCCATGCTGTAAGACCGACGTTAACCTGAAGAAGGGTCAAAGTGTCGGTCACACCAGTCCCACGAATGATGATAGTGAAGAAGTATCTGCCGGTCCGCTTGTCAGTAAATACAAGCTCCAGGGCTGAAAGTAGTCAGGGGGAAGACATCCATACGGCAAGAAATTGCTACCATTGGTCTGGAAGAAGACGTTTGTCAAGACAGTGATCAGAAATCTGCGAAAGTTGCGGGCTACACATATATTCCGCTTGATCAGTTTGATTTCGTATTGACTAGACTGACTTACCAGGAGATACAAGAGATTTCCAAGAATCTCTTTGCCTCATCTGAACCTCAAGTTCGACCGTCTGTTTGATCTGCTGAAATTCTGCCAGAATCTCGGGATCATTTCTGTTCCTCTGACTGATCTTAATGAGAACCTCAAAGGCCTATACCATCGATAGATTTAGTAGAGTTACAATCTTCATCATTGGGTCAAGGATGAGTATTGGCCCTTTACCTCATCTGCCCGATCCTTGGCTACTAGCCAACGAATGCTTTCTGGTGCAAAAGGCAGTATTAATAAGGCAATAGCGGGCCCTACAATGTCGGCCTTGATAAGACATTAGTAACTGACTGACACATGAGTGAGCCACCATGGAATCTTGGTCCATACCATTAGGCCCGCCCTCCATGCCCAATTTGAAGTTTTGTTATAGACTCCCAGGTAAATGATACCACCCACCATGCCTGTGATAGGCAAACAAGCAACCATGGTGTTTGTTATTTCTTCTCGATACTTGGGTGGTCCAACCTCCATGAGCCATGACGGTGCGCCAGTGCCCGTAATGATGAACGAAATACCCAATAAGAATCTTCCGAGAAGAAGCTGCACTTCTGGGTATCTGCTAGTACTATTCTTTTCTTTGCCCAACCAAGACAAATGTGCTCGAAGAGAACATTGATGAAAGGCTTACTCTCTTGCGCTGAGGCTTGGAGGATGGCTCCAAGGAGAGTAATCACTGAACCGACCATCAGACCTCTCCGACGGCCAAGCTTGTCCAACACAAAGCCAGCAAATGGAACTGCAAACACACAACCAACGTAAAGAATTGTGACATTGAGGCCGGCCAGATCGGGAGTAAGGTCAAAATCTGTTCGATATTGCAGGTCAGAACAGAGCAAAATTGTGGCAAACAGGGCAAGGTTCTCGACAGTACAATTTTGGAAGGATTGCATAACGTTGAGACTATTTATAATAGCGACATCGAGAGAAAAGACACAGGTGCTCGCGATGCACGCAAGCAGCGTAACGACCAAAGCTGACGAGACCATAACTGCGATGTTTCGTTATTGCTTTCCGAATGTCTAACGCAGATGATGTTCCAGAGTCGGCAGCGGTGAAAATCAGATGGACCAAATCTCTAATGTAAATGTTTTCAGACGCGCGAGGTCTCTATCACTGAATTGGAACGTTGAGCAGACAGCAACCGGTCGGTGAACTCGGCCATGAAGCCCGGCATACATGGAGTACCTAGGCAGAGAATATTTGCGTACATAGCTAATAATAGTTATCCTCGATAACCATCTCGGTGCAGAGCGGTTCAAGTTCTGAATACTCAGTCGATTGCTCGGCCGATTCTCCCGTTGCTTCATGCCATGATATCGCACAATATGTAGGTAAAGTCATCGTAACCATCGGTATCAGCTGGTGATCTCTTGAGGGTGGTATTGGTGTAGTCACTTTCGGTCAAGCGAGGATCTCTTCCTTTCCCGTCCCCGAATTTCAACAATTGCGGGGCCGCTGCCTGCCGCATTACAGCTTGGCAGATGCGGAGGTCGGGGGGAAGCTACCTTACCCTCCAAGCACCTCAAACAGTAAGGTAGGCACTGAACGATAAGCCTGTTCCTAGATTTCTTGGGATGCAAATTGTACTGAGCGGTATCCGCGGGATCCGTCGTTAATTTGATAGAGCTATGGTTCATGGTACACGAAGATAAATGGATCTCATGCTGGGTATAGCATGTTTCCAACCATCAGCAATTTTCATCCAATCTTTCTCTACGATGTATCGCACTCAAAGTCTATCAGCACATTGGCTCATGCCGCAATCGATTTTAGGCCTTGCACTCTCTATCATTGCCATAATCACATTAGTATGGCTCGTAGCCTCTTATAGCCGTGTCTTATACCTTCGGTCTCGCATGCCGCCTGGTCCCTTCCCGTACCCCTTTGTCGGCAATATTGGACAGGTTCCTACGGAGAAACCATATTTGACGTTCGAGAAATGGTCCAAATATTACAACAGCCCACTTATTACTGTCTGGACTGGAACTCGTCCGACCGTAATCGCGAATGACTGCTGGTCGGCGTCAGACCTCATGGACAAGCGTGCAAACATCTATTCATCACGCCCAGACTCTTATCTTGCTGGCGACATGCTCGATGACACTGAAAATAACCAGACCAATCTTGTCTATGGCGATAAATGGAGACTGCACCGACGAATCACGGTAAGCAATTTCCTCGGTATTCCATGACGTCGATGCTGTTGATACAGTGTCTAACAGCTTCAGCAGCACTCGGCGGTAGGTAGCCAAGCCGTGCGAGGCTACAGGACGTTCCAAGGTAATGAATCGAAGATCTTGGCCCGCGACATCTTGGAAAATAACAATTTCGTCTCTTCTATCGAACGGTACGCATGTTCTGTCGCCTCTATTATCGGCTGGGGACGTCGCATCCGTGATACAGAGGACGGCCTAGCCCGGCTGGCCCTATCCTTCGTGCAGACAGGAGCCAGCCTAGGCACCCCAGCACAACATCTGGCTGAGTCTTACCAGTGGATGTGCAAGCTTCCTAGATGGATATATCCATTGCCTTCAGCACTGTGGGAAGATGGACAAAAGCTGTTGAAGTATTTTTACGATCTGACTGTTGAGGGAAGCCGATTCCCCGAAGACAGTTTTTCTAAACGTCTCATGAACGAACAGCTGGAGCACAAGCTTTCGCCCAAAGAAATCGCAAGCCTGACTGGCAATCTTATAGGCGGCGGTGTGGATACTACCACCACGACGATTATAGTGTTCATTTTCGCCATGTGCGGCTTCCCGCGTGTCCAGAAGAAGGCCCAAGAGGAGATTGATCGTGTTCTTGCCGGTGAACCTCGCCCACCAACTTGGGACGACGAGGAATCCCTTCCGTACTGCCGTGCTCTCCTGACTGAGATCTTCCGATGGCGCTCTGCCATCGCCCTCGGTGGTCCTCCACACGCCCCTATCCAGGACGACATATACAACGGCATGTTGATTCCTGCAGGCACCACCATTCTTGGCAACACGTGGGCGATTCACCGCAACCCGCGTGATTACCCGAACCCCGATGAATTGAGGCCTGAGAGATTTCTAGATGAGGCTGAAAGGCGGCCGAACCCTAGCAAGAGGGGCATCTTCACATTTGGCTGGGGGAGGCGCGTGTGTAGCGGACAGCCGCTGGCTGAGCAAGGCATATGGTTCACTATGGTCGAGCTGCTTTGGGCATTCCGGATGCGGTCCGTTGACGAGCAGGTACGATTATAAGCTTCGTTTTTTCTGAGCTCATCTTTGCGGCTCTTCTCGATCCTTCCCTTTTCTAAAGAAGATGTTAAGAGTCTGACGATGATGTTATACATAGGGAAATGACAAACCGGTGGATATCTTCGCCTTTAACAATAGCCCAGCACCCCGGCCACTGCCATTCAATGTTGAGTTTACCCCTCGTTCCGAGAACATCGAGGACTTGATCGGGCAAGAAGCGTCAAGGGCTGAACTGGAGTTGAGGAAATATGATATCACCAGCCAGGTCGCTTTGCCTTCATAACAGTCAAATTCTCCAACTCAGCACCTCACAGAATACTGACTATACGAATGGCACAAGGGAAGAGAGTAACTTAGAAGAGGTGAAATGACAAGTTGATCCTCATTGCGCAATCTCGGAGGTGTCTATTGTAGGCAAGAACCATTAGATAGCACAGCTGAAAAACTGGCAGTATTTTGACTTACAATCTTGATTCAAAATTTCTCGCGGCCTTCCGTCACTTGAGAAGTACATTCACTGCTCTCGTAACATACGGTCATCTCGGTGCCCATGATACGTTGGGCTCGGTGGGGTGTGTATAAGGCTATTTGTGTTCCAGCGCTTTACGGCTGGCCGGGTGCCTTCAGCAAAACAGATCCCAATCAACAACGTACACCGCACCGCTGAGTGCTAGGCTATCGCGCTTCGTAGTCATCTTTTCTTTGATCAACAGCAATCCATGGATCGAGGCGTGCAGGCTATCTGAGCTATGGAGAGACTTCGCGTGGCGACAGCTCCTGGCGAGGGCACAATTATTCTGGAAAACGTAGAAACGACACGCCTAACGCCAAGGTCGCGTGGCTTCTGCTGTATGACTGCCCTGCAGGTGTCGTTGTCAAATTGTGAGAAGACCTTCAGGGAGGGTCGGCGGGGGCCTGTCGTTTCTGCGTGCGCGTCAGCCCAAGTTACTCTAGCCATGCGCATTCATGCAAGGCGTCCGGACGATCTTCGCCCGTTATGAGCACTAACAGTACTTCCACTTTCTGTTCGCTGGCTGCCACTGGCTAATTACCACACAGGTGTAACGCAGGCTGCGGCGGTGCTACCTGTGCCTCATTACAAGGCGCATGATTTGCTCGCTTCAGATATGGATATATGCGTTGGCACCTAAATCAGCCTCATGAATCCTAGGCATTATTTCCCAAAGCCTTTGGGAAGAGAAAATATCTCTATATGTGGGTGTCCCCTCCGAGCGTTCTGGTCAATGTTCCCTCCAAGTCTATCTACCCAGGCCAAAGACACTTTTCTTCGCAAGCGAAATCTATACGTTTATTTCCTGTATTTTCAATGGATCGTCAAACCTATAACATCGGGATAATACTATCAACGCCTGTTCACGTCGATTTGGCCGCTGGATACTTTGATCAGATACATGAAAATTATTCCTCTACCTCGTTGAGCGTGACTTACAGCACTGGCCGAGTTGGTGAACACAACGTCGTCGTTGTTGCTGCAAATAAAAGCCCCGCTAGCAAAACTCGAAACACCCAAGAAATCTTAGATGATTTGCTCAAGAGATTTCCGTCCGTTCGTGCGTGCTTCTTGGCAAGCGTTGATGCAGTAGCATCCCAAAGAGGCCGTTGCGTAGTAGGCGACGTCGTGGTCGGGATTCGGCCCAACCGACGAAATGGTGTCATTCACTTCGATGCCAAGAAATCAACACTCCAAAGGCGTCTTGTTGCTACACGGGAAATGAAGCACGTACCTGGGGTTTTGGCCGCCGCTGTTGAGGAATTACTTGACTTGAAGAAGCAAGATTACCGGCAGCGAGACTCTGTTAACAGCAGCATACAGCCTCAATTCAAAAGTTTCCGCGGAGTAATAGCGTCTTCATCAACCCGTCTAGCCGACGAGGGCCTGGTCGATCGTATAAAAACAGAGAATGGTGTCTTGTGCTTTGAAACGGCGGCTGCACATTTCAGAAATGAATCTCTTGTCGTTGTGGCTGGTATTGCAAGACAAACGGGTAGCAGTCAGATCTTGCCAAGCGGAGATGTCTGCGAGAATGTTCTTGCGTATCTGAACAGCCTCATCTTACGGGTCCACACCGATAAAATTGCACAATAACCGACTTTATTAAGTCTTCACGAGTTCAAACACTTCGATCTCGAGCGACCTGGATTTCGACTCTTGAGACTTGAACGGGGTTCGCGAAACACGCCAGTTCACTGTCGCCTGATTCAAGCATACCTTCCGCAGCAAGAAAAAGAGACTGCTAGCGAACGCACCACGCATGCGAACCAGGACATCATACCGTACGATGCTCTGTCATATTGTTGGGGAGATAGTACAAGACTATGCCAGCCGATTCATGTGGACGGAAAAATACTATTCGTCACCGAAAAGCTTCTCGAGGCTCTCAACTACTTGAGGCGCGAGTATGAAGACCGCATAGTATGGGTTGACGCTATCTGCATTGATCAGAGCAACGTCCAAGAACGCGGACATCAAGTCGGATGGATGGGGAACCTTTATGCGCATGCCGACCGCGTTTTGTGTTGGCTAGGACATGTTCAACATAACGTTGTCCACTTGTTTTCCCTGCTTGACACATATCGACGTCGGGTTCCACAGGAAGCATGGACAGAATGGCCACTTGATGATGAGAGGTGGTCACAATTGTGGATCTCAACGCAGGCAGAGTACGAGCTACCAGGCTGTGACTCTTCGACTCTCATCGCTTATTTAATGGCGAATGAGTGGTTTCGTCGAGTTTGGATCTTACAGGAGGTTCGGAATGCATACAAGGCTTCAATTGGCTGCACTGCGGGTTGGATTGACGCGAAGGTGTTTGCCATCTCGATTTCTCTCACTGGAATCAAGCTGGACAGCCAGGTTGCAGCGTTGATGAGCTTCTTACCTGGTCCGACAAGGAAGTTTTCGCAATGGGCACAAGAGCCAAACATTTGTACCCTGCTGTGGAAATTTCGAGAAAGCCAAGCGAGCGATCCTCGAGATAGGTTCTACGCTCTCCTAGGTCTTGCTTCGGATACGAAGATCCAAAAAAAAAGAAATTGTGGCAGATTACACCAAAACGGAAGAGAGCCTCGTTGAGGAAGTCGTGACCTATATTTTTTGGCGATCAGGTTCGTCGCCATTCTTGTACTCCAACGAAGATGGCACAGTTACAGGAGATGATCCCGAAACTCGCGGCCATCGCGTTGGAGAGACTAGTTTTCTCCGGCGCAGGACCCGCGGAAGTGCAGACTCTCGTTCAGAGACAGAACTCAACGATCTGGCTCTCAGAAGCCTTCATCACCTACGCATGGTGTACGCAAAAAGGTCTATTTGACTACTTCCGCTCTAAACCTGTATTTCGTGAAGATCCTCATAGCCAACTTACTGCAGAATCGCCATACTGGCGAGCACCTGAGGAAAAACAACCAGAAGGCGGATATCTGAAGCAGACTCTGCAGGGGAACAGCATTGAGAGACCCCTTTATCGGGATGATGAGAAGATCCTGAGAGAGAACGATGCGGCCATTGCTCTGTTGTCTTCACAACCTATTGGAGAAAATCGACACATCTACGTCACTGGAGAGTTCGTTGATCATGTAGCGCTTCAGGGCCCTGATTCTTTCGAGTTGTTGCTTAGCAGCCGGGGAAGAGAAGTGGAGGTGACTCGGAATGTGGTGCAGAGTTTGTCCCAGTGTGGTGCTGATGTGGTTCAAATGGTCCTTCGTCACCCTCAAGTTAAGATTACGGAAGCAATTACGAATGAAACACTGCGCCAAGGCTTAGAGGCTACCAAAGCCTTGCTGGACAAACGTGGTAACGAAATCCAGATCACTGAAGAAGTTATTAAGGAGGCAGCGATATATTCTGAGTCAAGCAGCGAGATGGCGAGGTTGTTGCTGAGTGAGAACGCAAACGTCATTATTACCAGGAGTTTACTTGCCGCCGTGGACCGGTGGTTCGGTGAAAAGGTAATGGAATCCTTGATCAAAGAGAAGGGCTTACGGATTGAGGTAACAAGCCAAGTTCTCCGAGCTATCAGATGGGCAGGAGGAGATGTGGGGATGATCGAGGGGGTGCTCGGCAGCACAGCCCGAGCGACGGAAGACCTTGTCAACCTTCTAGCCTGGGCATATGAAGGAGGATTCATGCGGCTTCTGTTTGACAGACAAGTTGGAGCGGTCACAGTCACAGAAGAGACCGTTAGATGTGCTGCGCACAATCGTGTAGGAGGGTATATGCTCGAGCTACTTCTGAATCAACAACCGTCGGGGTACAAGATCACTGAAGAGGTTATCATAGCTGCTGCAGGAAACCCCGATTTTGGAAGAGAAATGATAAGGCTTCTCCTTATTCAACGCTGGAACGAAGTTGTCGTGACAGAGAGGGTTATAGCGGCTGCGAAGAGGAATGAAAACGTATCTGAGGGGAAGGCTATCATAGAGCTTCTTCATAGTAGGCAAAAGCAAGATCGTGGAATATTGTCTCGGAAGAGGGATTTCTTTCGCGGCACTATATAAACCCCTAATTTTCACTATTGTATGATATTCCCTATTGAAAGGTGGAAGTTCGTCTTGTAGAAGAGTATAACTATACTCTTTTAAAAATGATTTACTTCAAAGAGATTGTTGTAAACAATGAGAGAGGTCACAGTTCATGGCCGCTGCTCCACGGTACGGCTTTCGCACAACTCGACCCAAACACCCAGCTAGCCCAATGGGTAGTTAGTGCAAGGAGGAAAGGGGCAGCAATAAGGATAGTAGCAAGCAAGTGGACAAGAAAATGAGTCAAGAGATGCAATTATAAAGTATTTGTTTAATGGTTCTACCTTTGCTGGCTGCTCGGGCGGTTCTCGATATCGTTTACACGGTATTGATACACACTATCAGTGGATACTCCCACTGTCTCGATAGACTATTTTTTGATTTTCTTCCACCTTTTCAGCTTTCCTTCCCTCTTGCAAAGTTCTCAACCACGAATGACGGCGATGTTGGGCGCAATTATAAAGTATATGATGAGCTAAACAAGAGACAATGTTCGAACAAAACGGAATGTACGAATTTAGTTTACCACACAGATGGGATGACTGTGCTATTTGGGTCTTGAAGGTGGTCGGCCTCGCTCGTCAAGACGGGTGGATATAGACGTCTTCAGACTGACGGATGTGATGATCAGAGAAGCCCACAAATACAGTTCTCTATATTGACTAGCTGAGATTATCCCATTCCAGCTCGTGAGGCATGGTAGTCTAAGCGTCCATACATTAATGCCCTAAGGTGTTAGGAGAGTTTTGATGATGTCCTCCAAAGTTGGTTTGCCTAGGTACTTGACCTCTCTCCATTATCGGTCCATTCCAAACCCATGGCGAGTAATGGGCGATGCAGCCGGCGCCCTCTAAAATCTTTCCATACCTATCATTTAGCAGCCAACATGCGACTAGATGGCCTGTCTTGCCACCAAGTTAGAACTCTCTCACACGTCGGCGCTACGTCTCACGGCGTCATAAAGCTTCACTATAGCCTTTAGACACACATGGCTTCTTCTCGCATCAGAAAGTCTCGAAGAAACTAGGAATTTGAACTGGCAGCTCTCCTTCTCTCATTGCGCCGAAATCTGTCGAGTCTCGGCCCCAAGGCTTGCGAACAGATTTCGAAAGCTTCAGTAGAAATATCAGGCAGAAAAGCATGTCACGGGCTCGAAACCAGCGAGCCAGGTACCGCCATTTCTATTCCCAGCACAAACATCAAGTGATGTCCGCCATCCGACCAATGCGGGCAAAACTATCTGCCCGCGTGCCTATCGACGTCCAAAGTTGGGTGTGAACCCCGACGAACGCAAAATAATTCTCCGAGGAAGTAAATCCAAAAAAGAAAACTTGAAAGGATCTACAAAACTGGTCGAACGCGCGTCCCCCGTGTTCTAATCATCGCACACAGGCCATTAAAAGGCTTGATAGACCCCGGTTTGGGATTCAGAAAGTGTGGAATACAGCTTGCTGAAGATGGTTGCTCTTTCGCGTCTTCCAGCATTCCCGCTGCCCGTTTGGCCTTCCGCCCTGGCGTCTCGGTCAACCATCCTGACCCCTTGGTGCATTGGTTCCTGAGCATCCAAGTCAGGCGCGCGCGGATCAGAGATGCGACGCTCCACTAGCTGAAGTCGTGAGCTTGGTAGGGTCTTGTCGCAAGCAATCGCTGAGAGGATTCTTGTTCTTGGAACATCCCTTAAGTCCTACTCGTTCGCCTCAACCCCCGGAAACCCCAAGATAAGTTTGCTGTCAAGCATTGACGACGCATCTAACTTCGGTATCTGATATGAGACAGAGCTCGGGGTCCAGTCACAAACTCAGAAACTGGTCTCAAGTCTAACCAGTTGATCGGGTAATGTTTCCCCAAACGACCTGTTGCTAGTCAGTCTCCCAGACTTGAGTCAGCTCAACGCAGGCTCGGCAGGTACCCGAAATACCTTCGTCAGAACGTAAATCTTGAGACAAACAACACCAAAAACAAGTCAAGCAAAAAATCAGCCTCCCGCGAAGAGATATGCGTCAAAAATATGGACGATCTGGGAATCGAACCCAGGACCTACCGCATGCTAAGCGGTCATTATACCACTAAACCAATCGCCCATGGTATGATCTAGCCCGGACTTGAACCGGAGACCTTCAGTGAACAGCCGGAGAATTGTAAGACTCTCAAGATGTTAGACTGACGTGATAACCAACTACACCACCAGACCATTTGATTGATGAGAGAGTCGGCGAGCAAGCGCATGATTAGGGCAGGGTTGTCGACAGGAACCACCAGGAAGCTAGTCGCAACCCGGCAGGACGGATGCGAGCGAGTGGGTCCAGGGTCTCCGGGCGGGCTGATCTACCGAAATTCCAGACGACCAGGTTGTCGGGACCCGTGATCAATGACCTGCGTGCCCATGGGCGCCATTGCGCAGAGTAGATCCGTTGTGATATTGCAAGAAAACATGGAGCTTTAGGGCAAGTTGACGGATTCATGCGTTGTATGCGATGTGCTGACTCGTTATGATGGCTAGGCCTCAGAAGCCAGCCAGCCAGCCAGAGTCTTGGTGCTAGATGAAGTGTGTTCTACTCATGTGACACAATTATGTGAGCTTGATCCGAGACATGAAGAGACTGCCATTGTGGATTGTTAGTACTGTTGAAGGGGTCGAGTGAGGAGACAACTTGTGGGGTGGAGACAGCCCCAGCCCACACACTTGCAATATATGGCTCAATGCCACAAACATGTCCGAAGATCGTGGCGGACATAGCTCAGTTGGGAGAGCGTCAGACTGAAGCGGATTTGATCCGAGAAACTTCATTCAGTCAATCTGAAGGTCGTGTGTTCAATCCACACTGGCCGCATCTTCGCTTTTTGTTGTCGCGTGTAACTGGGGCGGTTGCTGCTGTTCTTTTGGTCTATTTCGGTTCCGCGTATGTGGTAAGAGTAAAAAAGCATTAGACTTTTTGCGGCTCTGTGAAAGGGACCAAGTAGCGTCTAGCTAGCCAGCCAGCGAGCAACGTCATACGGTCGAGGTAGGTGGTGGTTGCTGGTCAGTGAGATGGTGTGTACATCGTCTTCGGGAGTTAATTAAGTCTGGCTATTCATAGGAATGGCTGAAGAAATGATTGCTTCTGGGCCCGAAAAGCGCTCTGCATTTAGACCAGATCGTGATCGTAAATGCCCGTCCTCTGTTCGTCTGTCCACTAGTTACCGTCGTTCGATCTCGTGGCCTGGTATTCGATACATAGGTGCGTCATAAAGAATCAAATGCTCCTAGGTCATGGCCAGCGCAGGCTCGTCCGGTCGAGTCGCTCGACAACTGAGATCAGGTTCAGATGGGGGGAAGTTCAGTCGTTCGGTTGGATTTCCACTTGTGGAAAGGCTCATCGCTTGCCGCGTATGCCAGACAAAATGGGCGCCCCCAACCGGTCCGGTCAGTGCGAAGATTGGAGCGCGTAACAAACATCAGCCGGATTTTGCGCGTGGTAACGCTGGAACTGAAAACAATGCCCATCAGTGGCGGCTTGGGGCCATCTGACGAGGCTGTTAAGCGGCCCGATAGTGCCCGGGCCGCATTGTTCTCAGGTTTGCGAGATGTGTTTCTAGTCGCCACCATCGTGAGCAATGGAAAAACACGATGCTGAGCACACGCAGTCCCCCTCGGTGCCGTCGTCGGCTCCGTCTCCGCATTTTCCAAATGCTTCGCATTGTACCCGACTTTCGAGGTGTGCTGGCCGGCTGCCGTCTTGGCAGAGAAACGCCGTTCAGGCAAATCCAAGGAAACTTCTGTCATGGGTGGTGGATAGAGGACGGGTTTCTATAGAGCTAGCTACCATGCCGTCTCGAAGACCAAACATGGAGCCAGCGCATCGACGTTCCCGAGGCGGGGCAGGAAATCCCGTGGGCAGGAAGACGAGGACCACGCCGACTGGGTATAGGCTGAGAGAAAATCATATTCTCCCAGGGCTGACCGTGGCTCAAGGACGAATTAGTTGTAAGTCTATCGTCTTCTTCCCTGCCTGCTATACGTGGCTGCGTGTCGAACGCGCTCAGAGTTGCGGGAAGGCACTTCGTTGGTGTGGTAGCTTTCCCATGCAGATCCCCCTCTCGATTCCTTCGTCATGCTAGTCCCGGAGTCAGAGGGGCCACACGTCGCACGCGCGGCCACCAGCAGGCCTCGCCTGCTCCCCAAGTCCGGTAGCAGATTTGCAGGCGATCTTTGTGCACTGCCTTCCCGGCGGCAGTGAACGGCCGCTACTGGGCATGCATGGATGGAACCGGCCGGAGACGATGACAGGCAGGCAAACAGCTAAGCATTGCGGGCTGTCGGTAAATCTTGCCCTGGCTGAGGGTGAACCCTGTGCCTATTCTTGGACATCGTTCTTGGCAGGCCATGCGTTTCTTCATGGCGGCGCAAACATTGTGTGTGCTGACAATGAGCATTGACTTTGGTCTGGTTGTCGGATGCAGAAAGAGGCCGTGATGATATCAGTTGCACGGAGACATCAGCGAGCAGGTTTGATGCATTGCAGGGAATGGGAATGGGGTGTGTGTCGAAAAATGACGAATGCCCCAGACGGAGATGGCGACGCCCATGACCATGGCGTCCGCGAAAGACATCCAGCGGCAGGATCCGAGACAAGGCTGTTGTGTTGGTCGTGGGATGCTTGGGTGCCGTCCCAACGGTTGTTTGGCGGTGTCGAAGGCGGCTCAAATGGGTTCGTAAACGTCGTATAAGGTGTATAGTTACTGCAGTAAGAGCGTAATTGGTGAAGGAGGGCCTGTCTGACTCTTGACGCGGGCGGCTTTAGGGTTTAGGCTTGGCTCGTAGGAGATCTATAGGTTGATTGCGATATCGAATCTCGGATTTGCCAGACACGTTGCATTGGGGGGACGGGGGGGGCGGGATCAGGGAGATCCAAGAGTGAAGGAAAGGGGAAGACGCAGCAGCGAAGAAGCTTACTGCAAAGCTAAAGACAGCGCTTCGAGAAGAAGAGGGCGACAGG